CAAAAGGAGTTGGACAAGCTAATCCCCTGTCCTCTATCACTTTATATTCTGTTCTTTATGTCCTTGGTAGTCCATCTGTTAGTCGTTTGACTTGTGCCCTTCATTGTGGTATATATTTCATTGATGATTCTTTTAGTATGCAGGACTGCAATATGGGGCAGACGATTGGCACAAGGCGTGAATCACAAGACCTTTACTACCTTAATTCCCACGATCCCTCCATAACATGTCCAGTTACAAATGTCTAGTTTGTCTATATTAGATTGGGAGTCATATCAACTTAGGAAATATATTCGAGCCACATTTTCACGTAGTGCTGAGAGTCTGTTTTTGCTTTAGTTCATTCTGATAAATGGGTCCCAGTAGAGTTAGTTCAACCTTAGGATTTCGTTATTTTGTTAGTTTCATTGATGATTACTTAAGACGTACTTGAATTTTCCTAACGTTCTGAGTTATTTCTATATTCAGGGTTTTTGTGCTGAAATAAAAACTCAATTTGGTGTTTATATTTGCACTTTTCGTAGTGATAATGTCTTACGATACTTACCCTCTCAGTTTCAACCATTTATGACTTCTCACGGAATTATCCATCAAATATGCTGTCCATATACTCCTCAAAGAATGGGGTAGCAGAGAGAGAGTAGGCATCTCATTGAAACTGCTCGCAGCCTCGCATACTTCTCATTCAGTCCCATATTCCGTTGTGTTTTGGGGCGATACAATTCTTACAGTTTGTTACTTAATTAATTAGATGCCTTCATTGTCCATCCAAAATCAAATTTCACATTCAGTATTATTCCCTAAGTTACCCTTATACTCTCTTCCTCGTGTTTTTGGGAGTACATATTTTCTTCATAAATTGGCTCCTGGAAAAGATAAATTAGCTCCTCGTGCTCTCAAGTGTGTCTTCGTTGGTTATTTTCGGGTTCATAAAGGGGTATCATTGCTACTCATCTGATCTTCGTACATATCTTATGTCAGCCGGTGACACATTTTTTGAGTCCCAACCTTACTTTACTTCATCTTATCATCCTGATAAGATGCCTTCATCCTGATAAGATGCCTTACAGTTTGTTACTTAATTAATCGGATGCCTTTATCGTCCATCCAAAATCAAATTTCACATTCAGTATTATTCCCTAAGTTACCCTTATACTCTCTTCGTCATGTTTTTGGGAGTACATATTTTCTTCATAACTTGGCTCCTGAAAAAGATAAGTTAGCTCCTCGTGCTCTCAAGCGTGTCTTCGTTGGTTATTTTCGGGTTCATAAAGGGGTATCATTGCTATTCATCTGATTTTTGTACATATCTTATGTCAGCCGGTGACACATTTTTTGAGTCTCAACCTTACTTTACTTCATCTTATCATCCTGATATGATATATCTGAGGTCTTACCTATACCTAATTGTGAGGAATATATTGTCCCTCCTCCTACATCCACATCCGTAGCCACCCAACACCACCATAGCCACTCCTACCTATACCGACTTTTGAGAAGTCTATTACTGCTCCTCCTACATCTCCCGCCACAAGGCCACCTCTCTTGACTTATCATCGTCGTCCCCGCCAGCATCAGGCCAAGATGATTCACGTCCTGCATTAACTTTTGCACCCACTGTGGACTTGTCTCTTCCTAGTCCACCAATTACACTTCGGAAAGGTGTACGATCTACACTAATCCTAATCCCCATTATGATGTTTTAAGTTATAATCGTTTGTCATCACCACATTATGATTTATATCATCTTTGTCCACTGTTTCCATTCCTAAGTCTATAGGTGAGGCACTATCTCATCCAGGATGGCGACATGCTATGATTGGCGAGATGTCTGCTTTACATGCGAGTGGTACATGAGAGCTTGTTCCTCTTCCTTCAGGTAAGACTATTGTTGGTTGTCATTGGGTTTATGCGGTCAAAGTCGGCCCAGATGGCCAGGTTGATCAGCTTAAGGCTCGTCTGGTTGCAAAAGGATATACTCAAATATTTGGGCTTGATTATAGTAACATTTCTCTCCTATGGCTAAAGTAGCATATGTTTGCCTTTTTCTGTCCATGACGGCTGTTCGTCATTGGCCTCTTTATCAATTGGACATTAAGAACGCCCTTTCTCCATGCTGATCTTGAGGATGAAATTTATATGGAGCAACCACCTGGTTTTGTTGCTAGGGAGGGTCTAATGGTCTTGTATGTCGATTACGCAAGCCATTCTATGGTTTGAAACAATCTCCTCGAGCCTGGTTTGGTAAGTTCAACTCAGTTATTCAGGAGTTTAGCATGACTCGTAGTGAGATCACATCATCTCAGTTATTCAGTTACTAATCTGAAGACTTCCAGACTAAGAATCTAGGCAGATTGAAGTACTTTCTAGGTATTGAGATCGTTCAGTCTAGCTCAGGTATTGTTATTTCATAAAGAAAATATGCTTTAGACATTCTTGATAAGACAAGAATGATGGTTGCAGACCTGTTGACACTCCTACAGATCCGAATACTAAGCTTCCACCAGGACAGAGGGAACCACTTAATGATCTTGCAAGATATAGGCATCTGGCGACTGGTTGGCAAATTGAATTACCTCAGTGACCTGACATTTCATTTCCTGTGAGTGCTGTAAGTCAGTTTATAGACTCTCCTTGCAATAGTCATTGGGATGCAGTTGTTTGCATTCTTCGGTATATAAAATCAGCTCCAAACAAAGGACTACTATTCGAGGATCGAGGCTACGAGTATATTATTGGATACACTGATGCTGGTTGGGCAAGATCACCTTCTGATAGACGTTCCATATCTGCATATTGTGTTTTAGGAGGAGGAAATTTGGTATGTTGGAGAAGCAAGAAACAAAATGTAGTTGCTCGATCTTGCGCAGAAGCAGAATATCGAGCCATAGCTATGGCAACATGTGAGCTACTTTGGTTCACCAAGTCCTTCACTGGTTCTCATATTGTTATATATGTAACAAGCTCGATACATGTAATTTGTTAGATAGTTATGTGTAAATTATCCTAGTCCTATATGTAGTAGGAGTAGAATATGTCCTTGTTCCTTATATACTAGGGGTAGAATATATATTATATATAGGACTCATTGCATCATTGTTAATAAATGGATTTTTTTCCGTGCTTTCTCACATGGTATCACATCTTCAGTGAGAACATTATTGATGTGCGTCATTTCAGCGACATCCAAGAAGAAAGATCTCATCGCCGTGCAATTTTCCGCTAACTTCGTCTTGTTCTTAGGGTTCATCACTGCTACAATGGTACTGTTCTTATACTAGTACCACCATCAGATCCGAAACCCTTGTGCGACCAAACCCCTGAAATTCCAGTCCCATCGGAACAGAAAAGTCAGTCGCCGTGCGTCTTTCCGGTTGACGATCAAGATCGATTTGTGTTATCTCCTCATCGGTAAGCGTTGTGCGAAAACCAACACTATCATCTTGTTCGGAAAAGTCAGGCGACAAAACCCCACTCAATAGCTCCGGCAGAAAGTCTCTCACGCGCCACCAGAACTAGGGTTTCGGCGAGCGCATCTGACACGTGCCGGTGCGTGGAGCACTTTCCTGCTAGAATTTCCAAAACTTTCTGTAGGACAATTGTTTCGTGGGGTGATTCTGAGTCCACCAGTACAATTTCCTACAAATTTCGAGAACTTCGAAATTTTCATGCGAGCTACAGTAACTTTTCCGGCCCGTGTGAGGCATTCCAACCACTTTTTTGACAAAACTTCTTTAGGACAACTTACTCGTCCAGTGATTTCGAGCCTACCCATATAAATTACATCAAATTTTAACAACTTTTATTTTTCCGGCGTGAACAATGCACTTTTTCCAGCGTAAACAATGATTTTCCGGCGTGAACAGTAATTTCCAGAATAGTTTGTTTTCTGGTTGTGTCTTAGAACCTATTTTATAGTGTGGAATTCGGCTTAGTCTCATTATTTTCAAATTTCTACGGCGACTTTTTGGCCAACTTCTGTTTATCAGCAACCACTTGGTTTTGTTGCTCAGGGGGAGTCTAGTGGCCTTGTATGTCGCTTGCGCCGGTAACTTTATGGTCTAGAGCAGTCTCCTCGAGTTTGGTTTGGTAAGTTCAGCACAGTTATCCAGGAGTTTGGCATGACTCGTAGTGAAGTCGAATGATCAGCTTGCAGATATTTTCAAGCTCAATACATATGATTTGTATGCACCGGCTTGAGAGGGAGTGTTGGATAGTTATGTGTAAATAATCCTAGTCTCATGTGTAGTAGGAGTAGAATATATCCTAGTCCCTTATGTAGTAGGACTATAATATGTATTATATATAGGGCTCATTGTAACATTGTTAATAAATAAATTTTTTTTCCCGTGCTTTCCCACATAATTTATATGCACCAGCTTGAGGGGCAATGTTAGAGTTAGTTCATTAAATAAGTATAGCCTACATGGAGTAATGTATGTATTGTTATAAATAGGGGTCCTTGTATTATTGTTTAAACACATCAATAATATATTTTTCTCCCGTGCTTTCTCACAGTTACAAATTGAATCTGATGACTTTTTTGTTTGGTGATCTTTTATCCTGGATGTTTTGAGTATTTATTTGAGAATTCTTATCAACTGCCTTTCCCTCCTCTTCTGCATTTTAACTTAAAATGCTAGTAAAATGGAGGCGTTGTCATTCCGCTTCATAGTTTAACGTGTAGCCTTCTTCTAAGACTTCTTAAATTTCTGATAATTCTTGAAAAAAGAAACCATTAAATCGTTGATCAAATTGGAGGTCGAACTTCACTACTACTCTCGTTTGATAATTTGATTGGTTACTGTCTAGGCTTCTTGCTCCAGTGCATTCCATGCATTTTGTTTTTCTATTCCCGTCAATGCTGGCTGACTGTGAGTCAGAAACTGAAGTTGTAACTAGTGCAATATTTTATCTTTTTTGATAAATAGGTTCTAAACTCTTAACTATTACATTGACCGTGATATATGAATGCTCATTGGGACGATGATAATTCATAGGGCTTTGCAGAATCCCGAAGTTTTGGAAGCTTAGGTCAGCAAGAAGGGGTTGTTGCCCTCACTGCTCGGCGTAGTAGGCTGCACCCTGGGACTCGGTATCTGGCAAGGGGCTTGAATTCTTGCTATAGTACAGGTAGCATAAAATTATCCTGTACAACTTGAAATTGTTTTTTTCTTTTTTGCTTTTGTTGGCCTTGCGGGAACAGACGTGGTTATTATTACTTATCGAAAAAAGAGAGCAGGTTGTTTTTTTACTGTGGTTCTTTGTTTCTCATCCATATTTGTTAAGAATCTTCTTTAATAATAGCTCTGCCTTTGTTCATTTCTTCTTCCGTTAGGGTGTGTGACATAGTTCTGCAGGACCCTGCTGGTTTTGGTTAGCGATAGTCAATATGTTTCAAACCTCATTTGTGGTGCAAAGTAGTTGTTTCTTTTCTTTCTTGAGCATTTATCTGCTCATCCTATTTTTTATTTGAATGGGCCAGTGCTCCACGTATGTCTTTAGTGTATACTTTCTGTTGTCTGTGTGGAATGGTGGAATCAGTTCTATATCTAGTTTCAGTTTTTCAGCAGTGTGTTCTGATACCTGACATATATGTGTGTGTATGTGTTTCCGTTGACGCTGCTCTAAATATGTAATATAACCTGGTACAACCTAGGTTGTTTAATTTTGTTTGGCATGCTGGAAATACGTTTTTGCAGAAAAAATCTGTGAGATATGTTTTTTAAAGATATCTGTCAATATATAGCCATCTATACCTAGTCTAAAAATGATGCACGTAATTGTGATTATGATCCCTATATATTTATTACCACTACTGTTTGATGGGCAGGCAATGAAGTTGAATGTGAGCAACTTGTGTGGATTCCTAAAAGGGCTGGGCAAAGTGTTCCTTTCAATACTTACATCTGGAGAAGAGGCACTATTCCTATCTGGTGGGGTGCTGAGTTAAAGCTGACTGCTGCAGAAGCAGAAATCTATGTTGCGTGTCGTGACCCTTATAAAGGAAGTGCTCAATATTATCAGAGGTTAACTAAAAGATATGATGCCAGAAACCTAGATGTAGCTGCTTGCGGGAATCAGCGAAAGATTGCCTTTGTTCCAATTATATGCGTTAACTTGCTTAGGAATGGTGAAGGCAAATCAGAATCGATTTTAGTTCAGCATTTTGAGGAATCTTTGAATTACATTAGATCAATTGGAAAACTACCTTACTCTCGGGTTCATTTAATAAACTACGATTGGCATGCCAGTGTGAAGTTGAAAGGAGAACAACAAACAATTGAAGGACTTTGGTACCTTCTAAAAGCACCCACCAATGCTATAGGCATCACTGAAGGGGATTATCTGCCTTCTCGTCAGCGCCTCAAAGATTGCAAAGGTGAAGTAATTTTCAGTGATGACATTGATGGAGCATTCTGCTTAAGATCACATCAAAATGGAGTGATACGTTTCAATTGCGCTGATTCTTTAGATAGGACCAATGCTGCTAGTTTCTTTGGTGCCCTCCAGGTTTTCGTGGAGCAGTGCAGACGGTTAGGTATATCACTTGACAGTGATTTGGCATATGGCTATCAGTCATATAACAACAATGGGGGTTACACAGCTCCATTACCCCCTGGCTGGGAGAAACGGACTGATGCTGTAACCGGGAAAACATATTTTATTGATCACAACACAAGAACAACTACTTGGAATCATCCCTGCCCAGATAAACCGTGGAAGAGATTTGATATGACATTTGAGGAGTTTAAGAGATCGACGATCTTATCACCTGTGTCTCAATTAGCAGATTTGTTTTTGGTTGCTGGTGATACCCATGCAACATTGTATACTGGTTCCAAAGCTATGCACAGCCAAATTCTTAGCATATTTAATGAAGATGCAGGCAAATTTAAACAGTTTTCTGCTGCACAGAATATGAAAATTACCCTTCAGAGAAGGTATAAGAATGCAGTTGTAGATAGTTCTCGTCAGAAGCAACTGGAGATTTTTCTTGGACTAAGGCTTTTCAAGCATTTTCCATCAATTCCAATCCAGCCATTACATGTATGTTATTGTTGTTCTACACTCTTCTTGCATGTGACTCTAGTTTCTTTCTTTTTCTTTTCTTCTTTCGATTTTCTTTAAATAGTGTTTTCTTGAAATATCCATTTTAACTTATCCGCTTTCTTCTTAGTATGTCCTTACATCCATCGAGTGCATCCTATTTGACCTGATCATCCTATTAATGAGGAAGGGGCTTTTTTTTTTTATCTTCAATAATCGTTGGCAACTTGGATCTTTCTCTATGCATTAACTTGTTTCTACACTATTATGGTTTTCCTTTCCGACACTCTTTTTGATGCATAAGCATGAATCTTAACTTGTTCAAATCATGTTGGACATATATATTATCCACAATTGTAATTTGATGTCTGCTTTATTTGTATATTGTCGGGAATGGGAAAGGAAGAGGAGAGGGTGAAAAGGGAGACAATCTACTCTGCCTATTGCTTTAAGAAACCTCTTTCTGGTCAGTGGGGGAGGGGATGATTCCATTTGATGAAACATCTATAATTCCCTGCAGTTGTTGATGGGTGACTGGAGCTGAAAGAAAATTATTTCTAATCTCAAGGGGGTTTGAAGTAGCTGATCTGGGAAGTTGCATATCTCTTCACTTTTTTCTTTCTTTCCCATTTTCCTCTTGACAGCTCAAAAGGGGGAAAAAGACCTTTACTGTTTGCATTCTATGTTGCTTCTTCCCACATTCATCTACACACCTCAACCATTTGGTAATGATCGAGATTTGCTGTTTGGTGTTTTTGGCTTGATAAAAGGCAATCCTGGACAGAGCAAGCATGGGGTAGAATCCTTTTGTTTTGGTTTCTTGTTGGTTCATAACAACTAAGATCTTTCATGGCTTGTCACTATGTTTTTTATGGGCCGATTGTGCTAGCTTCTTTTGTTTTTTCCCCTTTTAGTGCTCTTCATTCTTCTTTTTCTCTGATGCAAGCTCTTGATTCTTCAACTAAGTTGCTTGGACTCTTCACTTTCGGTGTCGCACCTGTGTCTACATGACGTGGGTGTGGGTGTGGGGTCTGTACCGAATCTGGTCGACTGATTTGGGTGTGTTGACTAAAATCGACGGAGAAATTCGGGACATACAATGATTTTTGAAATCAAAACTAAAGTTAGGGTGAAATTGAAGAAAAGTATATAAATTTCTCTGTCAGTGATTTTCCTTTTATCTCCTTCTCGGATTCTCTTTTTGATCAATATCTTTTCCTTCTCAGAATACCTTGAAGTTTTCTACATAATGTCTCATAATTTAGATATACTTTTATACCTCTATTTTTAGATATTTGAATTATTTTTGGCCAAATCCTCGCACCCGTATATGTCCTGGATCCATAACCTCGAATTTTGAAATTTGGATCATGAAGGATCCGACCTCTAGATCCGCACCCGTAGCGGACACCCGCACCTGAGTCCAAGCTACTTAGTTCTTCATTATGGAATGTCTTTTGTCCAAATATCATATTTCTGGCTTTGTCTTATAAATTAAACTATTTTTATACTTTTAAAAAGATTGAATATAGATGTGGTAAGAAAGGCATAGAAACAGGCAAAGGAAGGGACAACTCTCAAAATTATTGAGCCATAGGTTGCATCAATTGACTCTGAAGGGCTTCAAGGTCTTAAGACACTATTTTCCATATTCTAACTTGCAAGGTGTATATTTGTGGATTCGTTAATGGTGATTCTAAAAAGACAAAAAGGACACATTAACTATTAGAACTTCCAAATTTAAATAAATTACTCCATATAGTATTAGATAATAATAATAATATACTGGACTATCTAGACTTTTTGGTTTCAGTACCGGCTGGGTTCTAAAATATCCTGAAATTGTTGCTGAAGCTTTTCTTTGTGAAGATGAAAACTCAATGATAAAAGCGCCATAAGTCTAAAAAGCCCCATATCATTCAGCATTTGCCAAATCTGTCCTAATACTGTGAACTATTCTATTCTTTTTCTTTTCAACCTAAATGAGTTGTGCCTTTTTATTTTTTATTTATCAGTCAGAGGAATTTTCTTCCAATTTTCTGTAGTTGAGGACCTTGAAGTTATATATTTGGAGTGATGCTAACTCTTTTTGTGAAAGTTATTTGAAAATGATTTTGTCACTGTTGTTATCACCATATGACAGTTTATGCTGATTTTGACAGGTTGCATCTCGTCCCACCGGATGCTTTCTAAAGCCAATCGTGAACATGTTCCCGATTTCTGATGGAGCAAGTCTTCTTAGTTTTAAAAGAAAAGCAATGACATGGGTACCTACATTATGTTTTTGGTATTTTGAAACTACTTGTTATTTGATAATAGCATCTTCCACATTATACTTGAAGGTTTATATCTACATCACACCCCTTGGGTGCGACCCTTTCCCGGACCCTCCATAAACGCGGGATGCCTTGTCCACTGGGCTGCCCTTTTCATCTTACACATTATAAAAGTCCCGTGCTATTTCGTCTACAAGAGGTTCATATATATCCCACAGCATTGTGCTCCTTGCCTCACTTGTGTACACATCTTCTTACAGGTCTCCCCACAGGCTACCGATGTGGTTGAGCTCTTTATTTACCTTGGCGAGCCTTGTCATGTTTGTCAGCTACTTCTCACTGTTGCACATGGTTCTGATGATTCAACGTTCCCATCGACAGTTGATGTCAGGATAGGGTGTTATCTAGATGGACTTAAACTTGTTCTGGAGGTATGTTACATCTCTATTGTGAAATTGTTGTGCCTGTACCTGACTGTTACTTGCTTCTGCTATTTATAAAATTCAAATCTGTTAGATCTTATGCAATTTGTGCATAGGCATTTTCTCTCCCAACTGTGATGAGACTTTTACGCCTTGCCTTTTAGATTTTGATAATGGCTAAAGGTGTGTCTGTACTCTGTGGGATAGGGATTTATTATCCACCTGTTACTGGGGAAAGGAAAATAACATGCATATGTGGCTCTTTTTTCCTGGCGGATGACACATTTATTTTATGTTTGTGATAATCCCGTTGACATGAACATGTGCACAAGTGTTGTATTTTTGACAGCTATTATTGTTCTTTGTTCTCCTACCACATATCCTCCTGCCGCATATCTGCAAAGGGAAATCTTTCATAGAAAGTAAAATAGTTAAAGAAGTTTTCATGTGCCCATATGTCCAGGGTTACCATCAAAAGTTATCAATTTTTACATGCAATTTATTCACAGGGAGCTTCTGTACCACAGTGTGCAAATGGGACAAATATTTTGATACCATTGTCAGGACCAATTAGCGAAGAGGACATGGCTATCACTGGTGCAGGTGCACGCCGTCATGCCCAAGATACTTCCACCCTTCCATTATTGTATGATTTTGAGGAACTTGAAGGAGAAGTGGATTTTCTTACTCGTGTTGTTGCACTCACGTTTTATCCTGCTGCGGATGGTGGAGGCCCTATAACTCTTGGTGAGGTACAAAGAGACTAGATAATTGTACTTTTTAGGTGTCCTTTCTTTTAAAACAATTTTCTTTTACACCCTCTAACATAGTTAGCCCTGTGAGAAGGCACGGGAGAAAATATGATATATTGATATTGTGTGTGATGCAATACAAGAGGTGCAATTTATAGCTACTCTATACAAAGGAGATACTACTCCTATTCCAATGTGGGACAATTACATAGTTATCTCTAACATTTACATAGCTATCTCTAACACTCC